GAAGTAAAAAGATAAGAACATCAACCAAACTATAAACTCTTTTAGATTTCATGGTGAATGTTTACTTTTACCTGATGGGGGAAGGGAAAAGACATGACTAAGTTTCATGACCACTGGGGTGTACGTAAGGCCTATCTTGAATTCCTTCCTCAGTGTGACTAGTTTTCCATTCTCTCCACCACTCCGGCGGAAAACAAGCTGTAGAGGTGATTCCTGCCAGACAGGAAGAGGAGGTAAGTGAGAGCCTTCCCACTAAGTGCCATGGTTTGTATATGATTCGTTTCTCATGCCGATGCAGGAGTTCAATCTTTGCTCTTAAATTGATGGTATTTAGAGGGTGGAAGCTTAAGGTTCCTGGGGTGTTTAGAGGAAAGGACCCTTTGGGAGGTGATTAGTTTAGATTAATTCATTGGGGTGGAGTCCCCAGGATTGAATCTTGATGGCTTTGTAAGGAAAGGGAAAAAGAACACATGGACACAGACATGCATGCACTCCTGCCATGATGTGATAGAGCCAAGGGGGGCCCTTGCCAGAGCCTGTGACATGATGTTTGGACTTCTGGTCTCTACAGCTTTGAGATAAATAAACCTTTTTTCTTTAGAACATAGTCTGCCTAAGCTAACTGATACACTAAAGGGGCAGGGAAGGGGAAAGGAACGGTAGGGTCAAGGGGTCAGGTCCTAGATCATTGATACCCTCTCTGTCTGTTTTGGGCTTTGTCTCACAGAACAGGAGCTACAGAAGCATCTAGAGCCAGGCCCTGGTGGCTCATGCCTATAATCCTAGCTACTTGGGAGACTGAGATCAGGAGGATTGAGGTTTGAGGCCAGCTCAGGCAGATAGTTCATGAGGCCTCATCTCCACAATAACCAGAGCAAAATGGACTGGAGCTGTGGCTCAAGTGGTCACCACAGTGACCAGATCACACAGAACAGCCTTAGCAATGGGAGGCATCCTGTCTGGCAGGGTCTCAGAAGGAATCCTGGTCTCTCCCCCTGCACCCCTAACCCATGCATCTTGCTTCCTGCTCAGGAGATCCTTTTGAGTGTTGTGATGGATTTTTTTCTTTTTTCATGTTGATTGAGATGTAATTCACATGTCATAATTCACTCTCTGAAAACATACATTTCTATGGTTTTTAGTACTATTGCCACTAATTTTGTGATATTTAATTCCATAAAGGAAATGTGATAACAATTTAGTCCTTTTTCCCCCCAGGGAAGTATCCCACCCATACATTTTGGTGGTGTTTCTTAGCACAGCTGTGGCAGGGTAGAGGGTAATGAGGTCCACACTGTTGTTTCCGTGCATTTAATTGGGTGCTTCCATTGTTTGCTCATTCCCAGTACCCAAAATTCTGGGTTCATCCAAACAGCTGATTCTTCAGAAAAATGCAGATGTAGGTGACTTGAGCTGTGTGTGATGTGTATGTCAGACCCGGGCGTCCCCAAACCCCAGTCTTTGTGGAAGCAACTGAGACTATATTTGAAGAAAGAATATATAAAGTGTGACCCAAGAACCTTCTTTGTTTAATTATTATAGTTCTCTTGACTCTAATCAGAAATTCTGATTCAATGGCAAGCCCTCCTTTCTTATCTGTAAGTTGAATAGATGGCGAAAGGTGAATGCCTACTTTAGAGGCAGGAAAACATCTCATTTCCAGGAAAGAGGACAATTCCCTGCAAATCACTTCATCGCTCCTGTGAGGAAATTCTGGGATCAGAAGATCCATTAACCTTTGTGCCAGGAGAAGAATAAAAAGTGGCTAATGTGTTCCATTAGGTAGTAAAGAAAAGAGAAGAAAACCCACAAAGAGAGATGGGACAGAAAATGGAAGAAGAAAAAAGTCTTCCAGTAGGGGGTGTGGAGAGAGGAATGTGTCACCCTGAGATCACAAGCCATGTCATGAACTTTTTTTATAAGCGTATGCTAATTGTACAAAGTGAGGGATTTCATGTGATACTTCCATAGTGCATATGATGTACTGTCACCCCCTCTACCTCTCTTTTTATCCCTACCTCAGGGACCTTCTCACTTCCTTATAAACTTTTCTATGGAGTTCTTCTTTTTTCTTTTCATTTACTTTTTAAAATTATTATTGTTGTACTGGGGATACATTGTGACATTTACCAAAGTTCTTACAATGTATTTGAATTCACCCCCTCCATCATTCTCCTTTATCTCCCCTCCCCCCATTCCTGGAATAGTTTCAACAGGTCTCACTTTTCTATTTTCATACATGTGTACATAATATTTTTGTATGGGTTTCTTTATAATCTTTTCAGACGTACAAACAATATACTTCAGTCATATTTCTCCCACTCCCCGTCTTCTATCCCTCCCACCTCCTGATGTTACCCCCCTCCCAAGGAGTCCCCCTTTTGTGTTCATGTTCTTTTTTTCTTTAGATCTAGATTCCACATATGAGAGAAAAATGTGGTATTTGTGTCTCTGCATCTGACTTATTTCACTTATCATGATGATCTTCAGTTCCATCCATTTTCCTGCAAGTGACATATTCTTTATGGCTGAATAAGTGTTCAGCATCCTTAGCTATAAAGGAAATGTGAATCAGCTCATGTATTTTTAAGCAATGTTTTTCTTTTAATAAAAAAAAGATTGATAACAGTGTAAGGGAGCTCAGATAATATTGCAATTAAAAACAGTTGTATTACTAATATTGCAATTAAAAACAGTTGTAGCCATTCAAAGAAATGTTACAGAAGCCAGTGACATGTGATATTTTGCAGAACAAGTTTGTGGCTTTTTTGTAAGCAGACTTGGTAAAGTTCTTGGAGGCAGGCCCCAAAGTATCTAAACTGTGGACATTTCACATTTTTTTGAGGAATAAATAAAACTGAGAGACAGTGCCTTTTTTTTGGCAGTAGTGGGGTTTGAACTCAGGGCTTCTTACTTGCTAGGCAGGTGCCCTACCACTTGGGCCACTCCTAGCCCTACTACCACACTTTTGAATAAATGGTTCGAAGGCCATCTGCTTTCAAGAGCTCTGGGGACTTCCCAACTACACTGCGCTGAAGAAATATTGCTCTGAGAAAGGTGAATTTTCACCAAAATACGTAAAAACTAAGAAATTCTATGGAGACATTTTGCTCTCTCATAAAAATCATTTATTGGCACACTGGAGATGACAATTTTTTCTAGTACAGTTGCTGTATGCATCTATAATTGCAATTCAGTGTAAACTAAGTGTTACAAGTCACTAGAAATCTAATTGGCAGGATGAGTTTAATAAAGGATGAGATAACTATGAGTCTACAGCGGCCCAGCCATCGAGGCTCATTGGAGCATAAATCAAATATCAAACTAGTGTTGCCCTGCAACAGAGTTTCTATAGCCATGGAAACTGAGACAGACAGGATAGCACCCGTTCAATAAATTAGGTTCTAACTAGAAAAACATCATAATGGACAGAAAAATCTAAGGAGAGGAAGCACATAAGTGAATAATTGGCTATTTACATAGATTACTTCTTTGCCAAAACACTGTTAGCTTTTCCATTCTATCTCTTCTCTTCTCATTATTTATTTATTTATTTTTTCACATTTCTTGGTTCACTAGAAAATATTTAGCCAGTGAATCAGAACTTCTTTCTTTCAGGTCCTACATTTTCTAAAACTTCATGTCAAACTACAGATCTGAAGGGTAAGTGCCACTCTCTCTAGAAGTAATCAGCATTATTATTCTGCCTTCAGTCCTAGTAGTGACATATCTCACACTTTCCCAAATTTTATTTGAACTCCTCTAGAAAGTCAGGCTGAGAATGGCAGCAGAGTGGATGGGTTTTCGTTGTAACAGGCACAGATTGCAGGCGTGGAGACAGCACGTGTGTCCTTCCTGAGAGTGTGAATGTCGTGGAACCCCACCTGGGATCCCTGTGACTAAGACTGGGTCCTCTGCCCTTAGCTCACTTATTTTTTTTAGCCATTCATTTTTTTTTTAAGGCTTAGTATGAATGCAGCATTAATGAGTAAGAATGCTGACATTATTTCTGCCAAAGAAGGGCTCTGTGATGAGTGGTGGCCAGGACCTTAATTAAAACAGTGCAGCTGGAGAGGTGTTGAGTTAGGATTACTATGGCCCTAGTGTGGGGTTCAGCATCACTCTAGGAAACCTGAAAGACCTTGCCAATGACCTTCTTTGACCCTTGTCTATTTCCTTTCTGCTACTTATACTAATCTGTAATTGTTTAATTTTTCCTTTGTTTTCCTACTAGAATATACACCCCAGGAGGGCAGAGACTGTGTCCGTCAGTTTCATGTTTCTACAGTGTCTTGAACAGTGCTTGGTCCACAGTTCTTAATTAAAAACTTTACAACTAAATGAATAAAGTCATTATGTCCTCTGGTCTGCCTCTGTCTCGAGACTTTCCAATTCCACACAGCCTACTTATTGGGCTGGCCTAATGATCACACCCTGCTGTTAACCTATATAGCTGACAATTCAGTGCTTCAATAGGTAGTAAAACTTCTCAATGCCAGATGCACTCTGCCCATCTCGGGCAGCTAAGAGGTGTCAGGGCAAGAACATTCTAGAAAGTAAACCACAGGCTCCAAATTTAGTTCATTCTTCTCTATCTCCCACTTTAATCACTATTTGACTCAAAGCTTAAGAAAAACTTGATCAAGAGAATTTTCTCTTGGCAGTGCCAGTTCAGTAACATGGTCAGAAAAAGAAACAAAATGAACTTACCTATGTCAAAAATTAAGTTAAATAAAAGCAAGATCTGGGAGTGGACACAGAGTGACATGGTAGGCTGCCTAGGTCCTTGGTTGGTTAGAATTGCTGGGTGTGGAAGGGGAGTCAGGCATAGCAGCGTGGAGAGGCTGGAGGGAAAGGGTCAGAGTTGTGGGGGCGAAGATTGTAGAGGACCAGCTGTTGTCGCCTCCTTTTTCCTCTGCTGCCAGCTCTGCTTCCCACTGCGGCTGGCTGGACTCCTTGCTGGGGCTCTCTCAGGTAGCCGGTGCCTCCACAGCTCCTCCTTAGGCTATCGATGCTCTGCTGGAGTAGAAGTCGGGGACTGGGAGCCCAGTGTGAAGTGTGACCTGGGAGACAAGACTGTGAGTTCTGCAAGACACCATGGGTATCCCCTGCCCCAGGCAAAGTGCCCAGTGGTGTGCTCCTAATTAAAAAAGGGCCCTGTTCAAATTTTTTGAATGTCTATTGTGGCTGACATTGAAGAAGATTCTAGAAGAATTCTAGCCGTGGTAAGGGCCACCATCACTGTGGTGGATTCCCAAATCCTGATGACACCTGATGATTCAGTTCTTAGCCACCTGCCTCTTTTAAAGGATTCTGGGAGGTTGTATTCCTTATTACCAAAGGCACAGGCACTGACTTGCAGGTAGTAAAAGTGGTGGGCTACACCATAGTCACCATGTCAAGTCCATGGGCAGAGAGAGAAGATTAGCAGAGACAACCCTCCCTTCTTACTTGCCCACTAGTTACTATAGCTGGGGTAGCCTTGTTTTGTGAGATTGCGTGGATGACTCATTACCAATCGGTACTTATGTTACTTCACCAGTTTCTGTTCAACCTCAGACCTCAATGGACAAGACTAGACCACTTCTTGTAGTACTGTCATTCTCTCCTCCCTCGACTCTGTCTTCCCCACCCTAACAGTCTTTATATAAAAATACTCAGAACGTGGGGAAAACTCCAAAGTATGCCTATTATCATATTCTTTGGAAGGGAAATGGCCAAAAATGTGGAAAACTTTCAGTGATATTTTTCTGAGATTCAGTTCTAGGGCCACGGTTTTCTTTGTTCCAATGTAGAGCAATTTTCCTGCATATAACTGACAGACAACAAAGAACATTTAAAGATAAGTTTCAAGACCATTGTTCTAGATAGGGCAAAAGACACCGATAGCATTTTGATTCTCAAGTCCTACTGCAAGGCCCAGCTCTTTTGGACAGTGAATCCACAAGTCCTGACTGACTGGCAGGGCTCCCCTCCGGCACCGCATGGCTCTAATCCTCCTCCTTGCTGCCCCCCTGCCCCAGCCCACCAGCCTGTTGTCTCTGCCCTGTCCATGTGAGACTCCTCCATACCTCAGAATCTCTGCATGGGTTGATTCCCCTGCCTGAAAAGCTCCACACAGCTCACTCCTTCACCTCCTTTCTGGCATAGTTCACCGGGACTGCAGTAGTGTTAATCCACACTGACCACCCTAGTTAAGGCTACCCTTTGCCCTCCCCACCCAGCACTCTTGATCCCCTTACCCTTCTTTTGGCCTTTTCTAAACTGTAGCACCTATCACCTTGTAAGATGCCTTATAAAGAATGTCATTCTGCTTATTGTGCATTGTCGTCTGTCTCCTGTAACTACAGTGTAAGCTCTAGGAGGGCAAGATTTATAACTGCTTTTTTTCCCTATTGACGTATACCAAATTCTTTTAATAGTGCCTGGCATGTAAAAGGCACTAGTGTTTAATGAACGAATGAGTGAGTGAGAGGAATGTGTTGTTTTGTGTCTACTTTAAATCATAACTGACCTGTAGGCAGGGGCTGTGTTTCCTATTGCTGCTGCACCCAGCAAGCTAACAGGAGTGCGGAGAAGGGGCTCGCCAAATTTTCTGATGAGGATGCTAACACTTCAGTCCTATAGCTTCCCTTCTCAGGCACTGTGAGTCATGCCAGTTAAAGGCGTTCATTTCTACTTAAGAGATGAAACTACAGCAAACCATGAAAGAACAGGATGGTTTCCCAAGGACTGTTAACTAGATGGTGTGCAAGAACAGGGAAGAGGCTTGTTCTGTGGTGGATTCTTTACTAGTTGTTCACAACAATCCCTTTCTCTCTTCTCCTGCATGCCTTGCTCTGGGCCTCCACACTGTCAGCTTCCCTCTGGGGGGTTGAAGTGCCCAAAAGCAGACTTTGGAGCAGCAGTCAGTGGAAGTTCTTACACGAGGGGCCCATGCTTACCTGCACATTCCGGTTCAGGCTGACGGCAGGGAAGAACAGGCCCTCCATGTTCTCAAATGCTATGGGGCCTTGCTGTCCATCGTTAATAAAAAATGTCAGGGTCTTTCTGTTTAAGTCAAGCAGGACCCCAATGGTGGCCCCTTTTGTGATCCCTCCCTCGGTTCTGTAGGAAAAGAAAAAAATGGGGTATCATACCCTTGTTCTCATTCTGATCTCCCCCTTTTTTGGATGGTTAATCCAGTGTTTTGCAACCTGTTCAGAACGTTTGCCTCATGTTTAATTTTTTTTCTAAGTACCTTTTTTCACATAAAATTTTGATGCCACAGATATACTATACAACTGTTTATGTGCTGCATATATATATATCTGTTTTTTATATAAAATATGAGTACGATTTTTTTTGTTCCCCCACCAATTCCCACTCCCCTGGGAGAGATGCTCACCCCAGTGAGAATCGCACAGGGTGCTTGTGTTGCTGAGAGTGAACTGGTTCATATGGGGTCTCTACCACTGAACTGCAGCTGTAGGAAACCAACATAAAGATGGGGAAAAATAGCCTTTTGGCTATCAGACCTCTGACTAGCTATATTACACACTTTGTACAAATGATGTAAATTAAACCCCATTAAATAAAAAATGACTTCATTTGAAAGTCAAGAGAAAGAAGCACTTTGGTTAAACCTAAAACATTGCATGATAAATTGGCTTTGCGGCCTTCTGTTTCCCATTAAATAGTAAAACTCATCTCAGAAAGATGGTAATTTTTGTCATGTTGAATTTAAATTAAGAAGCCAGAGACTCTCTGTAAAATGACAATATAGAAGGAGATTCTTCTTCCCTGTAAAGTGAGATAATTATATTACAGGAAATGTAGGGATTTTAGAAAACCCGCATACAAATGTCATTTTACAAAGAATTGTCTTTTATGCTTCAATTGATGTCTTCACAAAATGCCATTAAATGGGGATGAGGGATATATCTTCCCTCCCTTTTTGAGATCTGGCAGGACTGAAGTTTGTCCTCATCTCAGCATAGCACAGGCACTCGCAAGCATCACTCACTTCCTCCGGCATGCAGAATACAGACTGCACAGTCCTTAGAAGACAGGCTTACGAGTCACATCTTGTTCACAGGCTTAGCAATGACAGCACACGTGACATGCAGTTTGCATGCAAGCGATGTGTTCAGCTTTGAGAATGAGTTTCTCTGCATAGTGTGATGGCTGTGTTCTTATTCACCCCTGCGCTCCAAAACAAAGACACGAAGCATAGTACATGGGTGATGGTACCAGGAATCTACTGTGAGCGTTCCTTAAATGCTGATCACTTAAGATAGCTGCTTATCTGTATCCAGTAGGATTTGATATCAAGTTGAAATGGTGTGTGCTCAGGTCAAGTGACAGTGACTAATACACACCTGCATGGAGACATATAGAAACTATTCAAGGGCACAGGAGGCCCTAGGAATCTGCTGGCTAGAGGGAGATGGGGGTCAGTGATGAGTGTACAGGAAAGGCTGAAACAGTGGAGTCCAGTTATCCTACCACTGCCTAGCTTGCTTTTCCTTTGATCTCACTGAACACAACTGGATATTTTTTCAGAGGTACTAAATGAGAATGTATTTTGGGGAATGTTTTTGAATAAGGCAGGCCAGTGTCCATGAAAGATACTTGTTGGCCTAGGAAACTTGAGATAAATTCATTTGAAGAGAGCACAAACAAATGGAAAGGGAAATCCAGGGAAAAAATTATAGTATGTGCTCAATTATAATTGTATTTCCTTGAGGAAAAATCTTAAAGAAATTACTGCATTCTCTTTCTTCTGCCAACTTGGTATTCTGACTTCATACAACAATAAGAGTTCAAGTATAAAACTCTCCACATTGGTTTCTGTAAGGTTTACTTTAACAAACGGGTTCTATTTTCAGCAGCAGTATTGATAATAATCCTAAGGAGAACAATGGCTTCTATTTTCAGGGCCTCCACTGCAAGGCATTTTTGCATATCTTCAGAACACTCCTGCATGGAAAAATATTATTAAAGTAATTTGAAGGATTTGCAAGCTGAGGTTTGGACAAATGAAGTACCTTAGCTTTTCAAAAGCACTTTTCTGGTAAGTTGTAGGTCTGGGTTCAAGAATCCCAGATTGCTTTCCTAGTGGATCTATTTCTAGAGGATTCTAGTTTCTAGCTCTGGGTGGAATATAGCAAAGCAGGGCCAGGGGAGTGCTTACATTTCCATCATTATGCAAAAACTAAACCAGCAGGATGGACTGTGTTAAGAGTAATGGATGTCCTGGGCTACGGAGTGAAGACTACCTGCCCGACTTCTTTGGTGTTGTCTGTGTCCCAGATCTTTGAACTAGGGCTCTCTCCCTGGTCACCAGAAGCCAACGTGAAGAAGGCTTGGTTTGGGGGCCGCAGGGTACCTGTTGGTGTGCGAGTTGCTGTGCATGAACCAGCTCCGGTTATTGTCCACATACATTGCCCAAGCTTTGTCGTCCTTTCCTAACATCACATCCTTCATCACATCCATGCGGGCCACACCAAATGCAGGGTCAGGGTGGTTGTCATAGCGATCTATTGTTAGCTCCCAGTAGTGGACACCCTTGGAGAAGCCAGTCTTCCCCAGCACCACCCGGTCATCGTAGCTACTGCAGGTCACTGTGAGGTTGTCATTGGAGAAGATGATGTCCGAGTGTGCCGAGCCAGGGTCGAAAGCAAACCAGGCCACTGAGAACAACAAAAGGGAAGCGGGTTATTAAGACGGACCCAGGAAGGTCAGCACTCCTGGGCGGTCACATTTTCATGCTGCCATGCAGGAAGGAGGTTCTGGGGCCCGAGTTGCCGTAAGTGCACAGACAGGGGCACATCCTGGGAGCTGGTTCTCTGCACCAGAAACAGATGGAGGACACACGACCGATTCAGCAGGGGTTACCTGGCTCAGACTGCACTCCCAACCAGGTGATCCGGGAGTGAGGTGGCATCGAGTTTGGAAGGTGCATGTCCCTTCCCCTGGTGACTAGCAGAACAGTGCACCAGAGACAAAGGGAGAGGGGCTGTGCTAAGATGCCTGTGTGACCCCTGAGGCGGGGAAGCTAGATTTAGAGTCCTGGATGGAGGAGGGATAAAACACACTGGATGAAATCAAGAAGCAGCCCCTCCATTACAGAAGGCTAAGGTCTACTTTTTCTGAACATTTCCCTTGTGCCTGCTCACAAGCTATGAAGCTACAAGCAACATGGACTGTTTCATGTGTGATTGTGACTTGGGTATATGACAGGTTGCTTGCTTCATAACAAAAATGTGTGTTACTCCTAAGACTAACATCCTACGTTTGTTGCTGGAGCAGTAGGTAGTTTGGACATTGGGTGCAGATTCTTTGTACATATTGGTATGCCCCAAATCCCTTCCTTCCTTCCTTCCTTCGTTCCTTCCTTCCTTCCCTTTGTGGTAGGGCCTTATGTTTGTTAGGCAAGTGTTCTGTCTACCACTCAGCCACACTGTTAGCCCTTTTTGCATTACTTTGTTTTTAGATAGGGTCTTGAACTTTTGCTCCCACCATCCTTGGAACTCGATCCTCCTTATACCCTCCAAGCAGCTGGGTTAGTCATGAGTCCCCACGCCTGACTTGTTCGTTGAGGTAGGGCATCTCCACCTCCTAGTCGCTAGGCTTACAGGCATGTACCACCACGTCTGGCCTGTTAGGCCCCAAGTTCTAAATGTTGCCTACAGATGACGCTCTGGAGAGAAGAAATTGCTGATTTACTGAACCTGTGAGGCACCTCACATGCACTTCAGTCTTTGCTATTTGTAACAGAATAAGGGTATTCCATACCTGCCAACAGCTTTTTAATGTCAACTGTTGTCATTCCAGTGAAAGGCATGGGGGGAGAGAAATGGGAAGCAAAATTGATATTGATAAGAAAACACGTCTCTTTTGAAAGACTAATACCAAAAAAAAGGTTCCATTGAAAATGTTACACATGCTACATCAGCCGGACTGGTTTGTACCTTGTCCTACATTTAGTGCTCATAAAGAGTGCTTTGCATTGGTGTATAAGAAACCTGGAGGGAAAGGTAAGCTTTGAGGTATAACATTTCTTCTTAAGAACTTGAGAAACTGTTATAATGGGGTTAGAATGACAGACAATTTTATTGACAGAAAGTAAGCTGCCACCTTTTATTTTGTGAAGGAAATTGACACAGAAGTCACAGAGGTAAAAGATAACAATTACAATAGGTATACTTGCCTAATTGAGAGTAAGGTGCAGACTGTGTCTCAAAATTGCATCCTATAAAGAGATACTACACATCAAAGCTATGAAACAACAACCAGTTAGATAAAAATTACTTGTCCATATTTAAAAAGCACCAACTGACTATAGTCACCAGAGGCCTGATTCATGGAAAAAAAAAAAAAGCCCTTTTTATGTGCCTTTTCGTTGCTGGGTTAAACGGCATCTCTGCTCTTTCCAAATGAAAAGCACATCTATTTATATTTTAATAAACCTTCTCCAATGGATCTGAAATGCTGCAGCTTAAATTTTAATTATCTTCCAAGCTGATTGTTTTAAAAATGAGACAAACTTGCCCAACTGAAATAGAGAAACCACTGGATCTTGAGAAAACTGCTGTGTCACCATTCTATGCCTTTCTAACAGGTTATGGCCAAAGGACTTTGTTGTGAGCTGGGGCCAAAATAAATGAAACATATGGAGTGTAACATAATCCAATCCATAAATTAATACATTGGATAATGGTTAATGATGTGAACTGAATGTTTTTAAAACAAAAATTACTTCTCCTTTGATTTAATCCTTCTCACCTGAGGGAGGGATGGAGGGCCAGTAGGAGGGTCTCAGAGATGACTGGAATCACTTGTGGGACTTTTTTAGCCATCCCCTTCCCTGAACTTTGGCTCTCCCACCCTGTGACACACTGTGCTGGTGGGGAGCGGGAAGGAAGGTGGTCTAGTCTTAAAATGCTCAAGGGTGTGTGAACAATTTCCAGTGATATCAGGAACTGGGTTAGAAAACATGGTTTTGATGAGCACTACCAAGTGAAAAAAGATCATGTAATTCTTTTTCCAATTTAGTAAGGCCCTTATACATTAATTTCCAAAACAACAGAAGGATAATACACTAACTTAAAAGCTAACTTAAAAGGATTTTTAGAAGAATTTTAAAAAAGCAACTTACTATAAAAGAGAACTGAGTTAAAGACAAAACTTAAATCCCTAGCATAGCCAAAAGAATTTTAAAGACTATGACCTTCCTTTTGGTTAGCTTATTTTACTCTGGGATGAATTCAACATACAAGAGAATCATTTTCTCCCAACTCATGGCTATTTTTATGTCTACTTTCTACCAACTATGACTTCAATTCCTATTCATGGGTGAGAGCACAGTGAGCATGGAACACCCAGAGTTTTAAAACTGAATTTCATATCCAGCTTTGAGTCATGGCATGTGAATAGGGCTTTTAAATTTTTTAGATGAATCATACCTTGTGCAAGTATTTCTTTTTTTTTTTTTTGAAACAAATATTCTGAAATATTTTTACACTAAAAACACCATTATACATTTAAAATTCAACGATACTACTAAAACAATGCTGTTATATATACCTGTCACATAGCCCCCAAACCCACATTTCATTTTTATTCTTGAGACAATATGCATTACAAAGACTGTAACAATATTCCAGTACATTAGACACGAGGGAAGAGGGTTCCATAACAGAGCGGGTGGCAAAGCCAGTAGTGCACAGAGAAACAGTAAGAAACGTGAAAGCACAAAGGCAAATGTCATTTTCAAGAGAGCTTGAAGTCCCTGCATCCTTTTTGCACTGTCATGCTGTGGCATTCTTCATTCCAGAATGTGGGATGAGCCAAAAGAATAAAATAAAAACCAAAAGAAACCTTGGGAAATGTATGTCATGTGTATCCATGATTATAATATAGTCCTGAAGAGATCAAATAGGTTGGCATCTTAGAGATTTTCAGGTTTTACTAGCCAGACAGAGCTTACTGCAAAGTAAGTCTAGCTTCCCTGAAATCAGCCCCGAGCCCTGCCACAGGCAGCAAGGCCGTGGGGAACTTCCAAGGCCAGGCCTTTTGATTACAGGATCTCGGGGCATTAGGCATCAGGAGTGAGGGTTTCTCATTCAGCTAGTCGTGGTCCCTGCCCTTTGCTGGGAAAATGAGCCAAGAGCCCGCTGGCTGTCCTAACAGCGAGTGCAGGCATGTGCAGAAATTGCTTTCTGCTTTGTCGGGTACATTCTGCTATTGGTGTGTTTTCATTTTTATTTTGTTTTATCAATAAAGATCTCTTAAGTCTATGTTTAATCAGACCACTTCAGGCTGGATGCACTGATCCAGTCTCCCAGACACAGCTGGTTTCCCGGATACAGAGGGGTGCAGACTTCTAAACTACTGCCATGGCCTCTACCCAGCCAGTGCCTGTGCCGTGCTATGTCACTGCATGTGATGACAGAGCAAGTTACCCATGGTGGGGCCAGCTTGTGCAAAAAAGAACAACTTCACTCGTCACTTTTGGATGCCATTACACACGGACCACAGCTCCATGGTGGGTCCTTCCACCACACAAACAAGAATGCCACAAAGCCCCATCATCCAAATGCTCCTTGCAGGGGAAGCAGGCCACAGACACAGACATCAGTTCCTTCCCCTCACCACGCACATGGATGGCAAGAACAAAACAAGTGTTTCAGAGATGCCATCAAGGCACAGAGATGAAGAGGAAAGGTGGGACAGCTCAGCTCACCGGGTACATTGAGAGACTGTAAAGAAGAATGCAAGCTCAGCTGGTGGGGTGAGGATCGGAAATCAAAGTAGGATCTCCCGGGGAAGCTGGGTTGTAGATTAAGGGTGGAGGAGAAAGGACTCATTCTACGGAGCGGCAATCTTTCCGAAGGCACTGGAAAAGGGAGGGTCTGTTCTTCCGAATCTGTGTCTAAATGTAAGATCAATGCAAACTAGAGATCAGAAATCTGCCACCTGCCCATGCCCGATTCCCCAAGACTTCCTTATAAGCATTCACGCAAAGCTTCACCTGCCCGCAGGCATCATGCCAGGCAGGCATGAGCAAACCCAAGGTGTCTGGGGGCTGGGCAGAGAATTCTCAGCAAGGTCAGGTCCCAAGAGCAGAGCACACCTCCAACATCACAGGTAATCATTTTCATTCTACCCCAATTTTCAGTGATAGACAGGTTTCCTTTAAATTATTCAATTAGATAATATTTTGAGTTGACTTTAGCAGTAAATTTTACCCACTGATGATCAAGATGAGAATAATACTTATCAGTTTTAATTGCATTTAACAATGGTCCTTTAAAGAGTTTCTATTTAGGAGATGATGATTTTTACCAATGGCTCCTACATATACATATATATATTTCCATTTTTAGATGAATGAGATGGTTTTCTACACTTTAGAAAATCAAGACTTGGTCTTTGAATAGGAGAAGAGTCACGTTATGAGGACAGGGCTGGATAAGTGATCAGGTTATGAATCTTACCTTTGTTTCTGAATTAGGGTCAGATTCTAGGGACATTACTTGACCATCTTGGGGTCTCTAATACACAGACTGTAGGTGGTGGGAAGGTGCATTGGTGTAAAGTGTCTGTTTCTTTTCAGCTAGGTCTGGCATTATATTAGAGTAAGTACCTATCAACTACTTGATTACACCTTTCTCTTTGTCAAACAATACCTAGTCTGCACAGTGGTGTGGTCTGGTCAGAGATGGTTCTTTCTCACCAATTAGTCTTCTTAAAACTCACTTTAATAGTAAAAGTTCAGGAATTACAGATGGCATGAAAGTAATATTTCATGCCCAAAACCTCCAACAAGCTTTCTTCTCATTGAAAAAATAATTTTGTTCTGGTGAGTGTCCCTGGGAATATATTTCTGGCTTGAGTCTTTTCTTTGTTGCACATACTTCTCCTATCAAAATGGTAGTCTGTGCATGTTCAACCAAAAATGTGTGTGTGTGTGTGTGTGTGTGTGTGCCTGTGTGCACACATGCAGAACATAATCCTATTTGAAGAGCTCAGAATAAGGGCTTCGGCAAGTTCTAATACTGCCAAAGAGCAGACTTATTTTCATTCTGAACTCGCAATATTGAAAGTCAGCTGTTCAGACTTTAGACTTATCATTGAAGGAATTTTTTTTCTAACTATAAACCAGATCTCAGAGAAAAGGAATTGCTATTTATGATGTCAAAAGCTTTATATTCCCCATAATAATACAGTGAAATATTTTAATTAAACGTCATATAGTTTGGGTGACTTGGCATGTACGCTTATCTCATTGTTCAGAAATGATAAGAAATGATTTGCCATAATCAACTTAAGGGGAAATTAGCCTCTTAGTTTTAATGGAAAGATCTGAAATATAATGACACAGTACCATGAATGGACACAGACCTCTTTTAGGAAGAGAGGGCAGTTACAACTGCATTTAGGTCAGGAAAAGATTTTATTAATAAGAATTTGCTTGAGGACTGGTGGAGTGGCTCAAGTTGTAGAAAGCCTGCCTAGCAAGCATGAAGACTGAGTTCAAACTCCAGATATGATAATCAATTCATTATACTAAAAACACTTGTTGCTTTAAAATTAAGGGAAAGGACATATATGGCAAGATGAGTTTCAGAGTATATTGAATCCCCAAGCAATCATCTGAAAATCTGTGAAGAAATGTGTACTGAACCCGGAATTGGGGGATGGTGACTCATACTCACTTTTTCTATTCTCAGCACCAGAAAGAAGAGCTTAGAAGTATTGACAGCACCACTTTGAGGGAGGCCTGAGTGTAACTACTGCTATTCCTGGGGTACTTGGCACTAAAATAGTTATTGTTTTTCCTTTCCTTTCTTGTGGATCCATTGTTTACTGATAACCCAAATTTTCCTTGACAGCCCTTACTCTTGAACTATACCCTCTACTCAGCCAAATATTCAATATCCATGTTACCCAACTAGTCCATCTTTGATTTTGAGTCCTTTTCCCCACCTATGACCTTCCATTTCTGACCTGTTTGGCTCTTACCCAAGATTTTCTAAGCAGTTCCTTAAAAAAAAAAAAAATCCTACCTTGCCACGAGAATATTCCAAATAAATGAGAGGACAGAGAACAGTTTCCACTTGATTTCAGCCAAACTAAACAAGTGATCCTCCCTTCCCACCCCTCCACATGGGAGGTACAAGAGTTCAGTCAGCTGCTTATAGGTCCTCTAGGCCATTTCTAGGATCTTAAGTTACAACTGTCTTAGAGGAAGATCTTATCTCAGAAACATCTGGAGAGGAACCATCAAGTGTCGTCTGAAGTCCCTGGAAATAACTCATTGCCTCCAGCCCCCTCTAGTTTGTAGTTCCTGCTTATATTGGTTGGATAAACCCCTTTAGAGGCTCCACTCCCCAGGCAGTGCTATCTGGGGCCACATGAACTTAATTACTAGTTCTGCAAGTATTTGAGGTCAGTTACCAACCTTCTTTAAATATTCCCTTTTCTGGGCTAGAGTCTATTTTCAACCATTTTTCTTTATATGAGTTTCAAATCCTTCACTCTCCTGGTCATGCCCCTCTGGATATGTTTGAAGGCATGAGCCAAAAATTATATGACAGTATTGAGAACAGTACTGCCACTCCTTAGTTTAGCCAAATTATTGTAAACTCACGTTGAACATAAATATAACTACCCCAGTGTGTATCCTGTGTTATAACCATTTAATGCAGGAAGGAAGTACATCTCAATTCCTTACCTTCTATTTATTTATTTATTAATTGATTGATTGATCAATTGATTGACTATAGTACTGGGGATTGAATTCAGGGCCCCTCTACCACTTGAGCTACATGCCCAATTCTCCTGTAAAACACCACTATTGAGATACAGAGAAAGCTTCCCTGCTACCAATGTCCTATTAGTCAAGACAAAGAAGGATGAGGTTATCAGGTTTTTAATTTTTTTTCAGAATACATGATAGGAATCTGTGTTTTAGTTCATGGCCATTGGCTGTTGCTGATTCATTTTATAACTTATGGATCACTACAGAAAGACAAGAAGCTTCTTAAGAGATTGTTATAAGGTCTCATAATTTTCATCCCATGCAGTGAGTCCTGTCTACTTGAGCTTTGCTGGGTGAAAGTAGTTTAGTGGGAAAGAGCAATGGAAAGCAGCCTGTCAGTGCTTAGTGTGGAGACTTCATGCACAGCTATAACTTGAGGTGGGACTGTGTTCTCAATGTCAATGTGTTAAGACTTGCTTTCCATCAACTATGTCAATGACTATCACTTTATTCTTGCTCTTTTGTGGACTTCTTTCCCTTCCCAACTGGGATTGGTTGGATTCTGGAGTGGGGTCTTAGCTAATGGCAGAGGCCACTGCTTGAAAGAAACAGTCAGGAATTACTGGTCCCACTGGAGGACCGTATATACTCTTACTGACTTTTAGGGTCAAGAAGGAAAAAAATATCTTGGTGGTATACCCTGTTTGGCTCACATTTCATTTGTTCATTATTTGACACTTACTGAACCATGTCATGCACTAGACATTGTATTAGAATTGAACAGTTGGAAAACATAAAGTTGGCAGAAGAGCTGACCATAAGAAAAATAATCTAGAGAAAATCTGTCATTTGTTATCGATCAGTTTTTATACTACCAGGGTTGCACTTTTGACCAATTCCAACATGTAAAGAGCACTAAAGATTTCTATGCATGCTGCAGAATAATTTGAAGATAGTGCAGTCTTTTAGGTGTTATTTTGTGGAGGAAGGGGAAAAGCAAACAGAAGTTTCTTATGACAATGACACTAACCCAGCTTCCTCTGTGTCCTGGTGGAAGCCGTGGTGTCCTGTCTGGTGGTGAACAGCTTCATAACTGAGCAGCTTTCAGGCTCTGGCTCAACAATAGGATTGCATTTCAGAGCAGAGTAAAGCAGGGTTATGTTACTAAGAATGGCAAAGTGGTGTTAAAAATGAGCTTCAGGTCCTTATAAACCAGCTGTAAGATAATTTGCTTTTGTTGGTAAGATTTTAAAATAGATAAAGAAATGAATGAAGAGAGAGCCTGGGTTTTCTTAAGTGATCTAATAAGCAGCCCCAAAGTTACAATTATGCTCAACTGGTATGTAATTTATAACAAAAGGTAGTATTTTAAGCTTTTGTAAGTGTGGCATTAATTGCAGTTGTGAAGTGGGAAACAAATCTGTTTTGAAAACTTCCTCTTGGAAGAATGAAACAGCCCTTGCCACCCCAGGGTGGTTGCTTACCTCATCACTAAGACCTCCATTCCAACTTATTATCATGGCATTATTTCTAAGCAACTATCATCAGGAGAACTGAAAATTCCTATATTTTAATTAGACACAAGCTTCCAAAGGATTAAAGTGCTCCTGAGGGTGTCAACTGTTGAGTACACTCCCCAAAACCAAAAATAGTGTTCTGGATCCAATTTAGTTACATGGAGAAATTCAGGATATTTCTTGGGATATCATGGATGATGGGAAAATCAAAAGAACAAAATATACATATCTTTTGAGCTGTGAAATTTATCATTATGTCTCTCACTTGTGTGTTGTAAAATTTAATCAAATTTGGTCAGGTATTATTAACCTACCTTGAGGATTTTGTCTTGGAAATGTACATTCTTCTAACTAAATTATTTTTGGAGAGGCCCAGATGCTCTGGGTCAGGAAAAGCAAAGTCATGGAGAAAACATCTTCAGTAGACCATGGATTTTCCTTATGTGATCCCTTATCAACTATTTTCTATTAGTGTTGAATTTTCAGGGTCATAGGCAGAACTTTTAGACCCACCAAGGTCCTTGGAGGAGGAAGAAATTATCTAACACCTCTTTATAGCATTTTCTGAAATAGTTAATAGCTTTTCATAGCAATTTTGAAGACAGAAGCCACAGAGGTGCTAATTGTACAGAACATAGAGGTTGTCTGCTG